TGAGGGGAAGAAGCAATATTAGGTGAAGTCGGTTGTTGAGAGGAAGAAGCGATATTAGTTGATTGAGGACGTCTAATAAAAGGGACAAGCTTTTGAGAATTTGTATTGCAATAATCCCAATCTCCATCCCAATCCCTAGTTAGGTAGAAATCAAAAATTGTCCCATTCGGTTTTAACATTGAATGAGACACCTTATATAACAAAAATGGAGGTTTTATTTTCGATTTTTAACATCTATCTTACCTTGTTCTAGTACGTCGATTGTAACTCAGGATTGCATAAGGAGAGCTTTTTCCTGCATTGCGAATACAAGGTAATATTTCCAATTATATTTTATAATGGAAGTTTCTTTGTCAAGAAGAAGCAAACTTGGGTTACAATCGACTACTAAGCAAGGCAGGGTAGCTGTTAAAAATCGAAGTCTCGGCTCATAACAAATATTTATTATAAAATTTGTCTTTCCAATTTCACCTGTCACAATATTCTTTCTTTATTCATTACAAAGGAAATGGAATTGCTTTATTGCTTTCATAACTTTTGAATTTTCAATTGTTATATGTTTTTGTTAAAGCATACACCCCAATGACTCGCTATATACATAGCGCTACACTAATAGTTTTTCATCTTCACCCTTGAATAACTTTTTTGTCTCAATGTCTCTGTTGCATTCAATATAACAAATATTCCATGAATAGAATTATCCAACGTTGTTGGTATACCTAAACATGATGGAGCAGCAGTATTTGCCGGTCCAAACAAAGACATCATTTTCTTGTTTGGAGGAGAATTCGAGAATGCAAGTTATGACATTCCTTAAGTTTACGAATATGATACAACAAAAAATGCGCGGAATGCACCTACTATCAAAGGGACACAGTCGCCTAGACGTGCTTTCCTTCATTCAGTTACCGATGTTACAGATAATATGTATTTCTTCGGTGGTGCATATGGTAGTAATACAGGAAATTCGTTCTTTTCTTTTGATAATCGAACGGATATTTTGGATTAAATTGGTTAAAAGGAACTCAACTCATATGATACAAAAAGTGATACATGGGAATAAAATGGTAAATCTGTGTGCATATATAGAGATAACATAAAACAAGTACACGCGCCTATAGAAAAAATCAGTGATAGATAATCATTTGGCATCTTCCACCCATAAAAAAAAAAAAAAGAAGGCACTAGAAAAACCAATCAGAATACAAGATCCAGTGTGACATAAAATTGTCGCTTTTCTTAAATCGATTATGAAACCGCCCTTCGGATTCTAACAAAATAAAATTCCTCGTAAAATTTTAGTATAAGATATTGTCCTACCCTAAACCTACTTCACCCAACATTAAGCGAAGTTTTTTTTTTTTTTTCTCTGTAAAATTGTTGTTACGCGATTTTGCAAATGAGTATCCGTGTACAATACACTACATTTAAACCGAAATTTTCAAATAATAATTACTAAAATAGCACAAGATACAGTAGATTATTATAATGTCAAAATTTTTATCATGATGCTATGTTGAGATACTTATAAATAACTGTGATCAGCAAGTTCCACGTGTCACCGAAATCTAAAATAAATGCGAATACGTGATTGGCTAAAAATTATTTCCAGATTTGCATTTATTTTA